ATAATGTTAATTTATTGGTTCTATTTAGACAAGATGAAAGGAATCTGAAACATGTATACGAAGATCATGTGTGACCAAGGGAAATCAACAATTAATTTGAATTTAATTAAAACTAGAATTTTACTTTAAATAAATCAAAAATAATTTCCTTAGACTCTATTTGCTATTTTTAATTTTTAATTAGTCAAATACGCTTTCAGTCAAGTCAACAATTAAATTTCTCATGTCTCTCACAACTAAAATTTACTAAAAAAATGCTCAGTTGAGCGCCAGTTACTTTACTTATTTTTCAAATTACGAAATTAACAAAATAATTCATTACTCAACTAATAATACTACAACCAACAAAAATAATGAGACTCTAATGCATCGGGTGAGATTCTATTGAGACCGCCATTGAAAGCACATGGCGTGAAACACAATTTAAAACACAAAATCTCTTATTTGACTCACCGTTGTTGAAAGGAATAGATCAGTAATAAAACGCTGGTTAATCCAAATTTTAACAATTTATTAGTGAAACACTGGCTGGAAAATCTCACTTAATTCTCGCAGAAAATTCGATTAATCAAATTGTTTGATAACGGTCACTCAATCCTATAACTACAGTTCAATATAGTCAACGACAATCAAAGTTATTACACTCTCTCTTACAACTTCTTTGCAAACACAAATTAAACTCTCAGTTCAAATGAAAAAACAAACTCTCAAATTTGAGATTTCACTCCGTCAATCCATATCTCACAGTAAAGAATTTCAAATAACGAAATTAGTCTCTTCTATCAAAAACGAACAACACTTCTCGTATCTCAACACACAAAATTAGTCTACTCTCTATTACGGCGTTCTACGCACTCTCTAGCCTCGCCGTCAACACATGGCGAGTCAATCGGATACCAAGTCAAAACAAAGACTCAAAATTAGAATTAATAAAATAATATTCAATAAACTAAAAATCCAATATTAATCAAATTTCAAATTATAAATTTTTGTAACGCAGTAATGAAAAACCAACTACAACTTAAAATAATATTAATTCGCAACTTAAATATGTAACGGAAACATCCATTTTACAAGCGCAGGGGTGGAGTTACAGCGGGCACTAGGATGTCTTTAGAAATTTCGTGCCAGTGACGAATTTACTTTGTCACACATGTTAATACAGATATGAGTTATACTCAATTTCGCGATTTATGTTCAGAATGTTGGAAATCTGACAAATATGGATTTGTTGTTAATGATAAGGACCGTAATTTTAATGAAGAAAGATATAGAAGAAGATTTGATTGCTTCATTTAACTATAAATACAAGAAGTTTATTGAATTTTTAATTAGTATAGTTTATCTTGTCTCGAAGAAAACATGTATCGAAAAGAGCAAGAAACGCTTCGTCAAATAGCAAAAGCAAGTGATGCTATTAGGCGGAAACATCGTTTACTTAAAATGGGTAAAGAGGCTGCAGAAACAGTATTGAAAGAAAATTTTCAACCAATAGTAACACCCCTGGAAAAGTTGGTGAACATAACTGACATACCTTTCAAAAATATTAAGAAAGAAAAAGTTAAAAAGGAGGAAAATGATTTTTCTTTCTCAACTGCTGTTGATGAGGAAGAGGAATTTGATAAAACACTACTACTTATGACACTCTACTTGATAAGAGCAACAACTTTGAAGAAGAAGAACTTAATTATGAAAATTTGACAAATAAATTTATTCAATTATTGAATAAAAACAGAAAAAGTTTTTTAGACATGGTTTATGGAGTACGTAAGCTTCCTAATGGTTCTTTTATAATTGGTGATACACCAGTTGATTTAGAAGGTCTACATATTCAACTTGTTGGAAAGAAAAAATATTTAAAAACTGCTGGGTTGATTGAACTTTTATTTAAACAAAGACCTAATCATGCATTAATAAGTCCAGATGATTTGGAAAATTATAAAGAAATTCTTGTAGCTACAAATGCACACCGAAAAAATTATAATTCCAGTGGACTTGTAAACGTAACCAGGAATTCTAAATACACTGATGTCATTGCAAATCTTTTTAAGGGTACACCAAAGAAGGGAAGTGGTGTTTTAAAGAGGAATCTTGGAAAGAAATTACCTCAATTTATGATTTCAAAGAAACAATTTAACCCAGACTACATTTATTGGGATGATCCCAATGAACTAGTTGACCCAATACGCCTGCTAGTAGCATCGCAGCAAGCTGGAAATCCGAGCCATAATAATGAAATTATGTCAATCATCGAAGAACTACGTGAAGCTCGCATTATATATTAGAAAAGTACAATCAAATAGAGCTTAGTATTAAAATGAGCATTGATGTGTTTGGACATCCCTTGTCAAGGCCTCTTGCAAGTTGTGGACTTCCTGGACCTTCTGGAATTGGTTTTAAAATTACTTCAAGTGAACAATACGACATTGATAACAAAAGACTTTGCAACGTTCAAGACGCTGAAGAGCAACAAGACGCTGTAAATTTATGACTTGCACAGAAAATTATTAAAAACGAGATAAAAATTGTTTTTCAAATTACATCTTCTTTAAGATCAGCTATTGATGATTTGAATCTTTATATCGGAATTATCGAGGATAGAGTAAACAAAAAACTTAAAGAAATTGATTGCCAGCAAAATTATATCATCAAAAAGGCTAAATTTATTCAACAATGATGGCTGATCAAAAATTAACAGTTGTATCTGAACTGCATAAACAATCTAGAAAAAATTATCCTCGTCGAAAAGTTCAAATGAGTGGTATAGATGAAACCTGGCAAGCAGATTTGGTTGAAATGATATCTTATTCTTATTCTAATAAAGGTTTCAAATACTTGCTCACAGTTATAGACATATTTTCCAAATATGCCTGGGCTGTACCTGTAAATAGTAAGAATGGAAAGGATATTTCTTTGGCCATGAAAACTATTCTAAAACAAGGCCGAATTCCAAAAAATTTGCATACTGATAGAGGCAAAGAATTTTACAATTCTGAATTTAAGAGTTTAATGCAAGAATTCAATATTAATCTCTATTCTACCTATAGTAATTTAAAAGCTTCAATTGTTGAAAGATTTAACCGCACTCTGAAAAATATGATGTGGCCTGAATTCAGCTTGCAAGGCAATTATAAATGGATTAATCTTTTACCAACTCTCATGTCAACGTACAATAATAAAAAACATCGTACTATTGGTATGAAACCCAAAGATGTTACCGTAGAAGATACAAGAGAACTGCTAAGACGTATTCGGAAACTACGTAGAATTCCGCTGAAAAGATCAAAATTCAAAGTTGAAGATAGAGTTCGAGTTAGCAAGTACAAAAATATTTTTGAAAAATGATATACACCCAACTGGACAACGGAAATATTCACCGTGGATAAAGTTAAATCAACAAAACCAGTTACATACCAGCTTAGAGACTACCAAAATCAGCCCATCGAAGGTGGATTCTACGAGGAAGAATTGCTGAAAGTCCAATATCCAGATGTTTACCTTGTAGAAAAAATTCTCAAGACTCGAGGTAATGATGTCTATGTGAAATAACTTGGAGTCGATAGCTCGCACAATAGTTGGATAAAAAATCTGATATGTATTATAGTTAATATAGTTAAACTAATGTTAAACTTATGTTAAACTAATGTTAAACTAATGTTAAAGTAATGTTAAAGTAATGTTAAAGTAATGTTAAAGTAATATTAAAGTAACGTTAAAGTAACATTAAAGTAAAATTAAAATAAAGTTAAAACAAGTTAAAGTAAAGTTAAAATAAGTTAAAAAAAAGTTAAAATAAGTTAAAATATATTTAAACTATGTTTTAACTTATTTTAACTTTTTTTAACTTAACTTTTTAATTTTGGTGCATCATTTGCGCTGCATATAGTACAGTTGTTGTACCAGTAGTTCGGCGCACTGTTACCTCGTTTTGGCGCGTCAGATGCACGAAAATGGGACGTATGTTATCCGTATAGGTGTAGTATATCGTCTGCTCTATTAAATAATGCAGAGGGTTCACCAAAAGGGTGCGCCTGCTGTCACAAAACGGTACGTCTGTTATACTAAGCGCTAGGACAACATACGTCCTGCGGTTTGGTATAGCTCGTGCACTAGTAGGAACGACTGGTGCACCAAAATTTTTTCTGCGTAAGTTAAAATAAAGTTAAAATAAGTTAAGGTAAAGTTAAAATAAGTTAAAATATAGTTAAAATAAGTTAAAGTAAAGTTAAAAAAAGTTAAAATATAGTAAAAAAATTAGTTAAAGTAAAGTTAAAATAAGTTAAAATATAGTTAAAATAAGTTTAAAAAAGTTAAAATAAGTTAAAATATAGTTAAAATATGTTAATGTAACTGGATTAAGGTTTTTTTAAATAAAGTAGACATAAAATAATATGAACATTTTTTTATTAAATATATATATCCTGATACTCCTCCTCCATTTTCATAAAAAATAATTTTCCATTTGCATTGGTTCAACATCATCATCGTCGATTTCTAGAATTTTATAGTGTCCCCATGCAAGGGTGTCGGTGCTGTTGTCTAAAAGATACCTTTTATCGTCATAAGGACTTAGTGCGACGTTTGTTTGTTTTAATGTTTGTACTTTGTGTAGTTTCGACCTAAAAGAATACTGAATTCTTGATTGAATTGTAACATTTCTCAGACAATAAACATAATCATCAAAATTAATATCTTTTTTTACAACTCCAGCTTTTACACCTTTAGCCTTTATTAAATCTTTCTCTCCCACACGGACGCTGTACATTTTGCTCCGCAAGCCAACAAATCAGTCACAATTTTTCCGCAGCATTCATTCTTCATTAGACCTAATATTTTTTTGTTGGCTTGCGGAATATCGTAAACATTATTTGCTGCGTAATCAGAAGTGTCGAATTTATTAATATCTTGTTTCATATCGGCGTAAATGTCAGAGCACTTGATTTCATAAAGCTGTGGAAATTAGGTTTGGAGATAAGGGCTTCAGCTCCATATCTATTCTCCTACTTTGTCACAAGTTTTATGTCAACATGTTTTCGCACGTTCTCCATTGTTTTGCCAAATACAGCATTGTTCATCAATTTGAATAAATTTTTTTCAAACTCGTTATTAGCATTTGTTCTTCGGACAGTATTACAATCAATGTAAGTCTTTAGCCAAGTAGATTGCTTGAATTTTAAGACGCGATGAATTTTAACTAAAACTAAACCATTGTCAATAGCTTGTTTTAAAGCGCGATAATGGAGAACGTGCTTATGTTTCGGTAGGAGGGTAGTTAGGAGCTTCTGCTCTTTTGACCCTGGTGGCTTCGAGCGTTCAGAGAAAAAAGGAAAGTCGCTATGTTTATCGTGAAGATAATCTGGATAATCGAGAGCAACTTCCAAGATGAATCCAATTGACCCATTATCTGAAACATTAAAATCAAAATCATTGCCTACATTTTCTACCCACTCGAAGCCACCGCAGGGAAGTGAGTGGACCATAGCCCAACCATACAAATTGTTTGCGTCGAAGTACATAATAGAAGATGTCTCCTCGTTTTCATTTAAATTCTCCATGTAAGGATTGTTAGCTTTCGCGTACCGATTTGTACACTGACTCACCCCACCTTTTATTTCGCGTTCGACAAACATAACCATGTCAATATCAGTGAGGAGTTCCAACCTTATGTTTGTGTACTTTAGCATAGCATCCCATGTCAGTCCAGGCGTTGTATAGTAGTGTGCTGGATCAAGACCGTAAGCTGTTAAACATTGATTCCTGAAATTTTCGAAAATATCCGCGAGTAACAAAATATCCGTTTTCATGTACAAGAACACATAATCACCGAGATTCTGACAATTAAACACACTTTACACTTTCTGCGCATGTGTGTAATCTTCAACTGAAACATTTGAATCATTCAACGTGCTATACAATTTTTCTTTAGGTGGTAATTCTGTTTCGTCGAGCTTTTCCCTAGAGTCAAGGTATTCGTAGGGAAAAACTCCTTTGCGCGTTAACAATTGGATTTTGTCGTCACTATAATTGGAAAAAACTGAATTTACAATCTTATATTCGTCGAGATAGGAAGCTAACTTGTCCAATGATGATGCCATTAACTTAAAAGAGTGGATAAAACGGAACTTCAAAAAACTACCTTTTACATTTTTAGTAAAACTAATATACTTTTCCTTGTTTATGGAAAGCAGATACACATTACCTTCAAAACCAGTAGCAATGGCATCAATAATGAAATGCGCGTCATAGCCACTGAGATCATGAAAAACAACGGGTATGGTCTGTGATTCGTGATAGTTAATGTTACAATCTTGATGCGCGGGTCCACGATACTTCCCTGTTAGATGTCAATGATCTCGTACTTTAATATCACCATGCGCGATTTTATTATTGCAAATATGACATGTACTTGCAAATCTAAAATCAGCCATCTGTTCTCGACTTAACACTTCTATTGGTGCAGAATTCTTAAAACGTTTATCTAGATCGTCAGACAAGTTTTTTAAAAACCACTTTTTTTTGAAAACCATTTAGCCGGTTCTTCGTCATCTTTAGGAGATGCTTTGTATACAGATAGAGAGTCATCAAAGGCACATTTCAAGTAATAGCCAATACTGAGCGTTTTGTGAGTTTGAAAAACCTCAGTATTTCTAGGTTCTGGTGGCGCTTCAGAAGGAATTAAGAGGCTTTCACAATCTGCGTAGATAATAAAGGGCACACGCTCCTTGTTTGAATAATTTTTAAGCTCAACAATATTCTTCCTTGGTTCTGGCAGCACAATTCTCGTCTCACACATCTTTCGGCAGATTTTCTCATGTTCGGTTAGCTTTACTTCTTTTTTAAAATAATGTAGACAACGATCACAAATGTATTTTTTGCCATTATGTTTTGACAGTTGATTGCTGACAAGCTTTGATAAATCCTTGATCCACACATAATGGTAGTTGAAAGAAATAATGGCTACTTGGTCCTCCTCCTCCTCCACATCAAGATTTTCGTCAATGTAGTGGTCTTCAATTCGTAGAAGATTCACGTGCATAACCTGTTTTTGCGTTGAAAGATGTAAAGGTGCCACTGTAAACTTTTCATCCTTTTTCACAAGACCATAGACATTCACTGAAATGTTATTGTGAGCCTCAAATTTTGAAATATCTTTTAGCGCAACAGGGAACTCAATTCCAGTAAAATCAAGCGTGTGCTCATAAGGTCTGTACTTTGAAACTCGATCTGAATGCTTTTCAACTTGGTGTAAGGCTGACAAAATTGACCATTTAAAACATTGATTATCTACATTCTGAACATTAATACATGCTTGCTTCTTTTTAATAGCAAGTGGTAAGTCGATATAAGAGCCAGCGCGCATGGGATTGTACTTGTTAATGTTCACCTCCAACCTTTGAATAGAATCAAGTTTCCAGTTTGAATCTTTCTCTTGGAACTCTTCAATTCTATTCAAAGTCGGTTTTTTCACATTTACATTGTACCACTCATCTAACGGGGTGGTAGTCAAAATTTCACCTGTTTTCGCGATAAAGTTTTTAAATCAGACTGCTCCTGCTTCCCATCAATTGAATCTTTTACAAATTTTGCAAACAACACTGTATATACTTTAAGAGGTCCATATTTATCTAAAGCTTTTTTAATATTAACCTGTAATAAATAAAAAGCATCATCAAAGAACTCGTTAATATTCTTGTAATCGATATTCATAATAGCACTAGATTGTAATCGTCCTTCAAATGCTCCATTAAAATCTACCCAATGCATTCTATCATTACTCATTTGCATACCCGCACCACGTTTTATTAAAACAACAAAGTTACAACGCAAGTATTTAATCTTCTGACTTAAATTAAGACATTTACATTTTTGATATGGTAAAAAATCGGAATTACGCAAAAACGTTCTCATGATATTTTTATAGCGTTGACATTTTTTTTGCCATTCGAATGCATTAACGATTTTGTCATCACCTGTCATTGCCATCGTGCAAATGAGTTGACGTTCTGCGATTTGAATAAAGTTGTCAGACTTCTGACATGCATCATTAAAATCGTCAATCTCGATTCGTTGTCGAGATTTTTTCCACGATTTGCACTTTGGCATCTTAAAAACTAAACCTGTAAACCTAAGAAAAAAATAAACTGAAAACCACCTAAAAAATAAGAATAAAAACTAAAAAAAAACCTGAAAAGAAAAATTAAAACTAAGAAAAACGTGAAATAAAAAAACCACCACCACCGCCTAAAACCTAATATAAAAAGAAAAAAAACAATTCCACCTAAAATAAAAAATAACTCTGAAAACTCTAAAACCTTTAGATACTCTGAAAATTCTGGATACTCTGAAAACTTTGGAAAACCTGAAACAGACTGCTGCACCTTACAAGATGCAACTGATGCTTGTGGCTTGCGCTCAGCAACTTATACACTGCTCCTCACCATACTCACCTCCTGACTACACCGCGCCCCACTACTCGAGCGTCGCGCGCAACACCCCACTACTCCACAGGCCACTACGATGAGGCATGTACTCCTCAGTCGCGCTCGAGACTCAACTCAATCTAGCGGTGGCAGCCGGTACTAAAAACTCGGTCGGTAAGGTAGAACACCCCTTCTAATCCACTTGAAAGTTTAAAAATATAAATTAAAATACCCCACCAAGGTGGTTTAAAGTGAGAAAAAATAAAATGGCGCCATCTAGCGGAGGCATCCGGTACTAAAAACTCGATCGGTAAAGTAGAACACCCCTTCTAATCCACTTGAAAGTAGACAATTAAGAAAATCTACCTTACCGACCGTCGGTAACTGGGCCCGTGCTCTCATAGCTTAAATACTCTATTTTAATCGAATTCGTCGAAAAATTTAATCATTCTTGAAAATTTTATTTAAATTCTTTATGATAATTTAATTTAGAGAAACATTCATTTCATTTTTTTGTATTTAAATAATTGAATTCTCGTAGAATTTTGCAATAAAAATTTATTTAAAAATAAATATTAATGAATATATTAAAAGCATTATAGCATGAATTTTTAAAAATAATTAATAATTGAATTCTTTTGAAGAATTTTAATAAAATTATTTAAAATAATTACATTTTTCGAAGAATTTACTTAAAATTGAATTTTTGCTTCGACCAAAACAGCGTTAAAATCTTAGATGTCGAAGGTTCTTATAGGAACAGGAACTTTTTAGAAATGTATTACATCGCAAAGGACTCAAATTCCGTAAATTTCCGAACTGATATTGATAATTTATCAATAATGTATTTTGATATTATTGGAACATGTGATAGAATTTCGAACACTAAAGGACAATAATTCCGGTGCATATTTATACATCTATGAAATAACCTTCATATTATTTGAAGGTATTTCTGTCACTGTGAATCAATCTTTATATATTTTTTCTTCTACAGTTTGTGTTGTGTCATAGACTTTACTATTGTATATTTTGTGTTCTTTTGAAATTGTATCACTGTCCTTTGTAATGATGAGCACATGTGTTATTTATTTTATTTTGTTTTAATATTTTTATGTTTATTTATTAATTTGGAATGTTCTGGTGGATTTTTATTCATTACAAAATGATGAAAGTCTCGACAAAATCGATTAAGTAAATCAGAACAAAATTTTTATTCCTTTTTTGACAGATCGACTTTTGAGGTTATGTCGGCCTCTAAAAACTTTTCGAAATTAATTTTTAAAAATTTTATAATTTTGTTATCATCGAACAATGTGGTAGGTACTTTCCACACACAATGTTGCTATTGATTCCATATTTTTTTTTATTTTTACACAACTTTTTTATTTTTTCTGTAGTCCTGATGAGCTGTGTTCACAGCGAAAATGCATTCGAAATAAAGTAATAACTGCTGATTAACAAACTTTCTCAAATCTTTTGGACCCAAGGCCACAATATAAACAATTTTATTTGATAAAAATTAATGTCCTGAAAAAACTCTACGTTTCAAATTTTTTTTTAAATAATTGAAATACTGTAAAGAATTTTATTATTTATGAAAATAATTTAATTCCTGTCACGAATTTTATTACATTTCTTAAAAATAATTAAATTCTTTTGAGAACTTTTATTAAAATGGTAAATTTTAAAATTTTTGAATTTCAGCGAAGAATTTCATTATTTGTGAAATGTAATTTAATTCTTTCCAAAAATTTTTGAAGATAATTTCATTTTTCGAGAAATTTATTTAAATTTGTATTAAAAATTCCAAATACAAGAAATACGTTGCTGTTAAATACATTTTCTCTACCTTCAGGACAATAACTAAGTGCGCATATTGCAAGATGTAATACAACCTTTAATTCGCGAACTACAGTGAACTACTAATGAATGCAGGTGCTACAGCACCTGCATTCATTTTTTGCCAAATTTTTGTTCAATAAAACTTCTTCAATCGACTGTTTCAAAATTTCATACATGGTTGCCACATAGCCTGGAAATCCTGGAAAAGGTATGGAATTTAGAAAAAGGTATGGAAAACCTGGAAATAGTATGGAATTTAAAAAAATTTCTGGAATTTTGCTTGTTTTTAAAGATTTTTGAGAAAATTTTGTTCTAGCCTTTATTTAGGAACAGTAAATAATTTTTTTTATTAACAACTGTTAACAAACAAAACATAAAGTTCGTTCAAAAAATAATTTTTCATCTTCTGCTGATTACCTGACGTGCTAAAGACTTCTACAAAGTCTTAAATTAAAGCTTGTAAGGTGCACTACAAGACCCATATCCATAAAATAAAAAAAAAATAAAATTTTGTCCAAAAAATGGGGTTGAAGACACTAAAAAATGTGTGTTTTTGGATTGCTTTAATAGACTTCTTGCAATTGCTTGGATTCGATTGAAAATGGTTACTTAGGGTTTTTGGAGTCACTGATTACGAATCCGATATTAGTTTTCAAAAATTCAAAATGACGAATTCGTAATCAACGACCCCAAAAACCATAGAGTAACTATTTTCAAGCGAATCCAAGCAATTCTTAATTTTTACATCTGCCATCTTGGTTCCGCCATTTTGAGTTTTTGAAAACTAATATCGGATTTGTAATCAGTGACTCCAAAAACCCTAAGTAACCATTTTCAATTGAATCCAAGCAATTGCAAGAAGTCTATTAAAGCAATCCAAAAACACACACTTTTTTAGTGTCTTCAACCCCATTTTTTGAAAAAAAATTTAATTTTTTTTTATTTTATGGATATGGGTCTTGTAGTGCATATTTCAAGCATTAATTGAAGACCTTGTGAAAGTCTCTAGCACGTCAGGTTAAAGAGAAAAAATGTTGAAAATCCTCAAAAAAGCGTTTTTGGGGTCTTCACCCCCACTTTTCTCAAAATCCTGGCGTAATGGGCAATTTTGGATGTCGGGATCTTTTTCAGCGTCAAAAAATACATCGGAAACCATTCCGATATCTCATAAAAAAAGTAAGTCTTTTTTTGTTGGCCTGTGTTATCGGCTGTGGTTACTTTTTATCATACAATATTGTGAATTAAATTAATTTTGATGACTCAGATAATTATTGGAATTGTTCTAGTAATAGTTTAGGACAAGTAAAATTTTTTTTGACTAACACAGGCTTTACAGTGCTCCTAAAAAGTATTTTAGGTGAAATAGGGGACTAAAAATAAAAAAATAATCATAATAATTAAATTTCACCAATTATTATTACATTTTTAAAAATAATTTAATCTTTTATAAATAGGGGAGACTGGGGTAAACCCGTTTACTTTTTGTCAGATCGGTAAAAATATAGAAAATTATTCTCTAAATCCAAGTTAATTTATACTATTTAAAAGCTGATGATTTCTACTAAAAAATAAAAAAGAGTTTATGATTTATCTTTTTTAGTTTTACTTCGAGAAAATTTTTAATTCACATATACCAAATTTCAAAATCACAATTTTCCAGGGTAAATCCGCTCACTTTATTTTTTCCAGTCGGAACAGTTTTATTTTTTAAATAATAAAATGCGTCTTATTCCTGTCTTATATATGATTTATTATTGATAAACTATGAGTTCTATAAACCAATTGGTTTAATAAATAATGAATATAGGTTTCATGAATTATAACTATGGATTTAAATAATGTTATATTTTATTAAGAGAATGTGAAATGTGGTTACAATTTTGATTTTAAGAAGTTATAAATTTTATTACACAGCCACACAAAAAAAAAGTTCTGATCTGGGGGTCTCACTATGTAGACTTTATGGTTTTTGGGTCGCTGAATCCGAATCCGAGGTCCATTTAACCCCATCAGATCAGGATTTTGGCATAACCTCAAAAAACCAATATGGCGGACACATTTTTGAAAAGTTTATCGGATTCGCTTGAAATTCGTTACTCGGGGGTTTTTGGGGTCGCTGATTACGAATTTAAAGTCTGATTTCAAAAATTCAAAATGGCGGATCCACTATGGCGGACACGTTTTTGAAAAATTCATCGGATTCGCTTGAAATTCGTTACTCTGGGGTTTTTGGGGTCGCTGATTACGAATCTGATGTCGGTTTTTTAAAATTCAAAATGGCGAATCCAATATGGCTGACACAGACATATTGGATCCGCCATTTTGAATTTTTGAAATCTGACTTTAAATTCGTAATCAGCGACCCCAAAAACCCCAGAGTAACGAATTTCAAGCGAATACGATGAATTTTTCAAAAACGTGTCCGCCATAGTGGATCCGCCATTTTGAATTTTTGAAATCAGACTTCAAATTCGTAATCAGCGACCCTAAAAACTCCCGAGTAACGAATTTCAAGCGAATCCAATGAACTTTTCAAAAGTGTGTCCGCCATATTGGTTTTTTGAGGTTATGTCAAAATCCTGATCTGATGAGGTTAAATGGACCTCGGATTCGGATTCAGCGACCCAAAAAACATAAAGTCTACATAGTGTGACCCCCAGATCAGAACTTTTTTTTTGTGTAGCTGTGTTATTGTTAAAATATAATACGTGAAATTATTTTTATCAAAATTTTAAATTAAAAACTAAGTGATCGGCTTTACCCCGAATTTATTCCTCACATTTCAGAATAAACTAAATTAAATCTTTTTGAAATCAAACAAAACTGTATATAGTTAGT